AATTCTGCATTATTGTAAGGCTACAATACAGGCAGTCCTCGACTTATAACCAGTTCATTAAGTGACTGTTTGAAGTTACAACGTTACTGGGGAAAAGTGACTTATGACATTTTTTGCGCTTATGAAGTTTACTGAAAGTCACTGTGGTTCATGGAACAGGGGTGATTCATGAACATATTGTGATATGTCCCCAAAAGTCCATGATGCTGCATTCTGGACTAGTTGTGAAACATCTTCAAGAGCAGGCATATGTGGATTGCATTATAGTAATCGAACCAGTGGACGACTAAGACATGAGTTACTGAGGCTTCTCAGTCCAGAAATGGGTGTAATTGACGCACAAGGCAAAGAGCTGTGAAAAGGCCTTCCTAGTCAGAGAAGCCTTCTGCTCTTTTAGCCAGAACCCTGAGTCCAGGAGAACCCCCAAATTGCAAACCAGATCTTTCTGAGGAAGCGCAACCCTACTCGGAGCCAAAGATGGAAAAATCTCAGGATCTGGAAAGTTAAGGTGCTCACTGTAGCTGCTTGGTCTTGCCAGAGTTGAACTGAAGCGTGTTCTTCTTCTTCTTCAGCACAGACTTCAGACATTGGGAAAGAACCTTGACAGCATCTCTTGGTCAATCTGGAGTAGCGATGGATGATTTGATATAACCCTGTGCCAATGGATGGGGGGGGGCATTTTTGTCTTCCCCAGAAAATGGCCTCCCCTGGAAGTCAGAAACAGGCCCATTTCCAGCCTTCCCAAACTTCTGGGAGGCCTGTTTTTCACCCTCCCCAAGCCTCCGCGCGCATCCTGCACTTACCTGCATCCCAAACGGGCCACGTAGGGACTCCTGGGAGGGGTGGGCGGGGCCACCCAGGAACAGTATTTGGGGGTTCTCCAAACAGCACAGAATCTTAGCTAGGGGCTCTCCCGAACCCCTGCGAAACCCCAGCAGCCCACCCCTGTGTGCCTCTCACTTCCGGTCCCCTGAACTGGTCCAGAAAGATAACTATAATCAATAATATTGAAAGCTGAGGAGAAATCAAGGAGAACCAGGATGGATGTACTGCTCCCATCTCAAGCACAGCAGAGGTCCTTGACAAGCACAATCGGGGGCCCTTCTCAACGCTGTAACCAGATCTGAACCCCGATTAAAAAGAGTCCAGATAATCCACTTTCTTGAGTGCCTTCTGGAACTACAAGCAGCTGGATTAATATTGCTGCCAATCTCACCTAACTGACTCTGGGCAACTTACATAATTAAAAACAACCAAAATTAGAAATAACAGCCACTGAAAGCAATCAAAACAGTTAATTAGAAAGCAAAATAATTCGTAGGCGAGTCTGAGCTTGAAGGAAAAGGGATTGGCAACTATCTTTTATTAACCATCTATTAATCTAGGTGCTTTTTCGAGAGGCAACTGGACTTTCTGGGTTTTGTTTTGTTTTGAAGACATTTTGCTTCTCATCCAAGAAACTTCTTCAGCTCGGACTGGATGGTGGGGAATGGAAGGATTTATACTCCTTGCAAGACAGCTGGTCATCCTAGGTGATGGGGCTTTTCTGCAAGGAGTATTAATCCTTCCATTTCCCTCCATCCAGTCAGAGCTGAAGAAGCTTCTTGGATGAGAAGTGAAACATCTTCAAAGAAACACAAGAAAGTCCAGTTGCCTCTTGAAAAAAGCACTTTGGGGACAATCATGACTTGGATGACTGAGAATTTCCATAGAGGAAGATTAGAGACGGGGTGGAAGACAGTTGCTCTCTTTGGTGTTATAGTGCTGCAAATGCTTTTAAAAAGTAATGTCTCTTAAGCTTCCCCACTTTAAACAAAAACCCGCCGCCTTCATTTTCTCCCTAGGCCTTGTTTGACTATCCTTGTTACCTTCCTGTCCAAACAGATAAAGCTAGATTAATAGATGGTTAATAATAGATAGTTGCCAATACAGCCAGCATTAATCAACTAGAAAGTCAGATTCCCCTCAGTTGCACCTATTACCAGTGAAGCTACGGTACTTTTTCCTTCAAACTCGGGCTCGCCTACAAATTACTTTAGTGTTCTTGTTTTAATTGCTTTCAGTGGCACTTATTTCTATTTTTTGTTGTTTTTAATTATGTAAGCTGCCCAGAGTCAGTTCGGTGAGATTGGCAGCAATGTTAATTTAATAAGCGTAAGTTATTCAGTAAGTTGAAAAATAAAATAAACTTCAAATGCTAGTCTGTAATATTTAGACTTCAAATAGCAGTCTATCATTTTAAAATATATCTTCTTGTGTTTAGCTCCTACTTTTCATTTTATCAAACCTGCAATGTCAAAAACTGTTGAGAGAATTGCTAATAAGTGAGAGAAAAATGGGATAACTTTCCAGTCCATGACGTGAATCAAATTTCACCCCTTTTTTAATAGCTTCACCTATTTCTTTGCAGAGGCGTTTCTGAATTTGAGTTCTAATATAAGTACATGGTAATAATTATATAGGTCATAGCGGTATTCTTATATCTAAAGGGATGCCACAAAGAAGAGGGAGTCAACTTATTCTCCAAAGCCCCTGAAGGCAGGACAAGAAGCAATGGATGGAAACTAATCAAGGAGAGAAGCAACCTAGGACTAAGGAGAAACTTACTAACAGTGAGGACAATTAATCAGTGGGACAGAAGTTTCCTTCAGAAGTTGTGGGTGCTCTAACACTGGAAGTTTTTGACAACCATTGGTCTGAAATGTTATAGGGTTGAGCCGGGGGTTGGACTAGAAGACCTCCAAGGTCCCTTCCAACACTGTTATTCTGTTATACTGCATCTTTATGACTAGACATTGCCCTGTCCTTGTTATGGCACGTGTGGACCTCCATGTCTGAGCAATATCTTCTCTTTGTATATATTGAAGAGACCTTGCACTTGGTATTCTTGTTTGAGAAGCGCATTGGTCACATTTCTGTTTCTGTATCCTTTCCCCTTATTTGGACAACTTTTTGTGGTTAGAAGAAGAGAACCAGGGCAATGGAAGGCCACCAAGCTCAAGAGAGTACCAAGGCCTACGCGGCTTATATTGAAAAGCCTTTGAAATTGAGTATGAAATGTAGTGTAGGTAGTTGTCAGTTAACCTCTGTAATAGGGAGCTGAAATTTCTATTGTTAAGCAATGTGATTGTAAAGAGCTACATCACACGACCACATCATTGCTTAGTTGCTGCTGTTAAGTGAGGATGGCAAGTCATTAAGCGAGTCCCAGGTGGTTTGCAAGACACGAGTGCAGTGGAGCCAGGGGTGGTTGCTGGCAGACTGGAGAATGTCTGAGCAACGGATCTGAGCAACCTGTGGGACCTTCCCTGCTGACTTCCCCCTTGATTTTATGCTTCTGGGAAGTCAAGCAGGGAAGATCTCGGAGTATGATCTTGTGACCGCAGGACGTTGCAATGTGGTAAGTGTGAGCTGGTTGCCAAGAGGCCAGGTTGCAATCACATGACATGTTGTGACAGCTGGAAATTCAAGAACCAGCTGTCTCTTTTTTTTTCCCCCAGCACCTTCATAACTTTAAACAACTGGTCAGTAAGCGAGGCTGTAATTCTCTTCTCTCTTTTGTGGAGAATGGCACTCTTTGGTTGGGCGCTGTATCAATTGGAAAGTCTCTTACCTCTATACCCATAACAAAAGGCGCGAAGGAATCTTTCTGTTTTGGAAATTAACACCCTGCAAGCTAAGATACTGGAAAATTGAATTAGGTAATTAAAAATGTTCAAAGAGTGTAAAACGGCAAAGTGTGTTATTCTCAGGACAATGACTTTACTATAGCTCTAAGTAACTTGCCAGCCTTTGTCTAACTTTCCAATGTTCTGTTGACTTGGAAACATTTTGAATAATTTAAACATAAGATAGTACAGTGAAAATATAATTTTATGGGTATGTGGATGTTGATAAGGCTGTCATCAAATAAAGTTGTTGTATATATTTAAGTGGTTTAATCTGAAGAGAAGAGACACTCTTAGTGACTCTGTTGTAATGGCACTGGAAGAAACTCTTCTTTCCCCCTCTCTCTGGGGTTAGTTTGATGTTCTACAATAAATGTAAAATATAGCAGCGTTAGAGGGGAGATAACATAATATTTATTTATTTAATTAATTTATATTGCTGCCTATTTGCCCATGGCGACTCGAGGCGGCTTACACACAGTGGTGGGATCCGACAGGGTTAACTACCGGTTCGATGATTTTCGAGGTTCGGTGATTTACGATGTGCTTCCCTGCACACTGCGTGCACGCCTGTAAATTATCATCAGCACGCTGCGTGCCGAGAAGCAGCCTTTCAAAAAGCCCTTTTTTCCTGCTTTTTCAACTGCAGCTGTGTCTCGCAGCTGAAGTTGAAAAAGCAGGAAATAAAGGTCAGGTAAGAGACCAGGTGGGCGGGTTGGCCAAAACAGCAGCAGACATAGAACAGGTTCTATGTCTGCTGCTCTTCAGAGCTACCGGTTCTACAGAGGTGGACAGAACCAGTAGAAACCCACCGCTGCTTACACAATGTAAAACCATATTTAAAACAAAACAGAATTTTTTTAAAAAAATACCTAGTTTGGCTTTGAATATTTTGAATGAACAATAGGAAACTGAGAAAAACAGATCGCTGTTTTCATTTCAGATCTCTTAGGAACTCCAGAGATATTGTGGCAATTTTGTAATATACTAAAACTGTTTTATAGGATGTGGCCAGTTTTTCCACAATCTGGTTGATGAGAAAGTCTTGTCATCAGCTGCAAAAACTAGAATGGTAATGATACTGAGCAGACGTTCAAGCCAGTTTACTGGAATTGGGTTAAATGGATTTATAATCCAAAGGAGGCTAGTTCATAGATGCAATGCTATGCTTGAGCTGAGAGGAAAGCAATAATCGCAGGACAATATGTGGCATTTGGGAATGGAAATAATGCAACTTTATAGAAGAGAAGAGAAAAGCTAAATAGATTGGAATTGTTTTCAGCGTTTCTGAATTTTCCATCTTCCTAACCCCAAATCTTCCTTGTTTTCCAGCTGGTTGGTCTACTACTGATTGGTGTGGCTGCCTGGGGCAAAGGATTTGGGGTTGTTCCCAGCCTCCACATCATCGGAGGGGTCATTGCTGTGGGCTTCTTCCTGCTTCTCATCGCCATCGTGGGACTCATTGGTGCTATCAACCATCACCAAGTCATGCTTTTCTTTGTATCTTTTCTAATGCTCTTGGCAGAACTTATTGCCTGTCTCCTGAAATCTACGTTGCAAAATTAAATACATGAGAATTCCACCAGATGTCTCATTGGCATGACTGAAATTGAAATTGTCCAGTTATAATAAGAGCCCCGGTGGCACAGTGGTTAGAATGCAGAATTGCAAGCTAACTCTGCTCAGTGCCAGCAGTTCGATTCTGACCGGTTCAAAGTTGGTTCAGCCTTCCGTCCTTCCAAGGTCAATAAAATGACCCATATTATTGGAGCCCAACATGCTGACTCTGTAAACCTCTTAGAGAGGCAGCCAATATGCTGACTCTGTAAGCTGTTCCTAGTAGTACAGTTTTGTTTCTTAGAAAGGTTGGGTTTTTTTGTTTTTAAGAAAAGGGGAATGACTTCAAAAGAAACTTTCAGAGAATTTCAAGGTCTTAGATAGGGCTATAAAGCAGTATGAAGCGGTATATAAGTGCTATTGCTTTGCTATTGCTATTGTAGGTTACCTAAGTTAAAAGTGAAAATTTGTGGCTGTTTAGATCTTGATGAGCTACAATTCCCACTGCACCCCTACTATGCTTGATGGGAGTTTATTTAAGGGATATGGGGAGAAGATAGATATGTTGGTGAAATATATTTGTAAGTTTTTCTCACTTTCACTTGGGTACTTGAGACTACCAAACAGGTAATATTTTTTCTTCTGTATTGAGAATAATAGCTGGCCTTGCCTTCATTCCGAGGCTCTGCTCCAGGAGCTAGCTTCTGTTTCTCTCGTGGTATGGAAAGTGTGAATCTGTTGATGAAAATAACTAATAAAGAACTCTGCCTTCGGGCAAGGAATTAAAATTTGATTATGATGTAGTCCCTTCCAACCCTCAGATCATGTAATATTAAGATAGGATTATAATCCTGCATATATAAATGGATGAATAAATCTGATGTTTGGCTAGAACTGTAAAGCACTGCAGCAGAAAATCTATTATAAAATAGTGCGTGTAAAACTTACAAAAAAGAGGCCAGAAATAAACTCTTATATTTATTACAAATATCTGTATTGTCAGTGTTATCCCATAAACTTTCAGAATAAAAAATCAGAATTTGAAATATTGCAATAAAAAGAAAGATATTTGGGAGGATGGGTTTATGGGATCTTGTAATTATTCTTTTTGGCAGGGAGGCAGAAAGTAAACTTTTTGAAGCTGCTCCATCTTTGGTCAGTGGATAGATTCAGACCAGCGCTTCCTTTCCATGATCTGCTAGGGGCAGAAGCTGAGGTATAAGCACGTATCATTAAAACAAATACATAAGCATTAACTTTTCCTGAATTTAATGCTTTCATTAAATGCTCTCTGTCGATTTTTGCACTGTCCTAAATTGTCATGTCCACTTTGGATGCAACAGATACCAGAATATATCTGGATGTTCAAGGAGCAATCCAGCTTTATCAGTAGAGATTATATTAGTGATAAAGATGGATTGCTCCTTCTTCATTTTCGTATTTATGTGGGAAAATCTACTGAATAGAAATTGTTAATGTGCTTGGGATAAGGTACAGTAGTTGGTGAGTCTGTTTTTAGAAGTATATATAGTAGTTGAGTGTTTGCTTTTGGGACACATGATTGGTATTCTTTGGTTCTTTAATGTGGCATGTCTTTCTGGACGGGTAGCCTTCTACTATAAATAAGGCAAGGGATAATATTTTCTTCTTGTAACTTCCATCCACTGTACCAACATAATTTGTGTGAAGAGTTTGCTGGTTATGTAAAGGACTTAGTAGGAATACATTTTTATATTCTAAGCCAGGGGTCTTCAAACTTTACAGCTTTAAGACTTGTGGACTTCCAACTCCCAGAATTTCTCATCCAATCATGTTAGCTCAGGAATTCTGGGAGTTGAAGTCCACAAGTCTTAAACTTGCCAAGTTTGAAGACCCTTGTTCTAAGTTATTCATTGAACTTTGAGGATAGGGCAAAAGAAGGTATGGGGAACATGGAAACCGTGTTCTTGTTTCCCTACAAGATTTTAACACTTTTTTTCAGTGATGGATATATTGGTTCAAGTAGTAGCAGATTGTTGATATAACTAATGACTTATAAAAAAATGTCATTAATCAAAACAATATAACTTGATTAATGAGTTATGAAAGAGAAAGAAAAGGAACCTTGTCATCCATAAAGAGGTGAGGAGGAGACTTGATACAATCTCAGCAGTGGTGTGGTGGATAAAAGTTGGCTTCCCAAGTTTTGTTGAAGAATGTTTAACAAAAGAAGACTGAGCCGGAGTTCATATAATACTGTACCATGATGTGGTTGATTTGGTTTGGGTTTAGTCAATTGTGCACAACTAGTCATTGTAGATTATAAACCATTGTTTATAGCTTAATGTCACTTGAGGCTTTGGTCCAAAAATAGCTGGAACCCAAAATTAAAATGAGATAGATGTTTGGTGACAAAAGCTTAATTTTTAAGAAGTGAAATAAGCGTCCTATGGCTCTGCAATTTTTAAAGTACCAATTTTGATCCTTAAATTCTTCCCAACTGGAAAACTTTCAAACAGTATATTAATTTTTGGCCCTACGCAATCCAGGGTTGTTAGGGCCCTAAAAGAGGACTGAAAGGCCACATTTGATCTGTAGGTTGCATTTTTTGCACTCCTGCCTTTATGTTTTGTGGAAACTAACCAAGCTAATTAATATAGGAATCCAGACTGATTCTTGAGCTGCAGCTGGTTTTCTGAGTGATACAGTTTTGTTTCTTAGAAAGGTTGGTGGGTTTTGTTTTTTTTAAGAAAACGGAATGACTACAAAAGAACCTTTCGGAGTATTTCAAGGTCTTTGTGTTTCTGTGCAGAGCCTGGTTATCAGCATTACTAAAACCACAAAAAATCTGAGAAGCAGCCTTTTGAAACACTGTGGCTAGTTGTTGACCATTCGAAATCTGCTTAGGAAGCATAGATCACCTTGTTTTTATTGTAACAACCTCCCCCACTTCCAACAGCAATGTCTGTTTTCTTGTGGATTTCTCAACAGAATTAGGCTGCTCATGAATGAAAGACAGGCAGTGTAAGTGGTATCAAGCAACTTCCTTATTTGCCCCAGCAAACTTGAAATGAGAAAATACTGATGTAAGGCAACAGGAAATAACAGTCAATGCTGCTGTGTGTGCCAAGACATCGCTGACACATACAAATTATACCAAAAATAGTCACCTTTGAGTTCAGCTCAGCAATAGTTAACCAACAAAGGACTATTACAAGAATGGTTCTAGACAAGCCAACATCTTTTTCTTTTGCTATAATGGTGCAGAGGAAAATGTCAGCTGCAAAGTCTGAATTGTTTTCTGGATTTTCTGGATTCTTATTTACATACGAGACCCATGATTGATTTAAGAGTTTATTAATGAGTAGGGCAAAAATATCCTTCCCTGGCCGCCATCCTTAAGAAACCATTGCCACTCGGATTAGCACTCTGAGCTAGATGAATAGTAGTTTATCTTTGATTGTTTGAAACATCGTATGTACCTGGATTCTTAATGTTAAAAAATGGCATTCCCAATCTTTCAAAAGTATTCCTTCCCACTTTTGTAACCTTCTTGGAAAAATCCATATTGATTTTGAGAATATTTTACTTCCTGTTAATTTTCTTCCTGTAAATATCATTTGATCTGTAACAGTTTTATTTGATGTTCACAAACTCTATTATTTTTTCCCGAGATGTTCCTTAATCGCATCTTCAGTATATGATAATTCTAGGGCTAATCTTTATTTTCCAGTTTGGGATTTCCTGTGCATGCCTGGCACTAAAGACACATAAGCAGGTACGTCTTGCCTTTCTGCCTGAGTTTCATTCAGTTTTTCTGGCTATATTTAGCCTGCACTGCAGCAAATGTACTTTCAAAAAATGGTCTTTCATGTCTAGTCCCATCGTTTAAACAAACAGGAACAAGAAATGGAGCAACTAGCAAGATATCCCACCCAATCCCATGAGCAGAGTGAGATTTGTGACTTCCAGCCCATTTGCTTTGAGTACAGAGATGGTATTCAGCAGGTTCTGACCAGTTCTGGAGAACCGGTAGCGGAAATTTTGAGTACTTCGGAGAACCAGCAAATACTCCCTCTGACTGGAGATTTTACAGTATCCTTCCCCTGCCACGCCCACCAAGCCACCCCCACAGAACCGGTAGTAAAAAAAATTGAATCCCACCACTGCTTTGATCCCTTAGACTTCTGATACAAATAGAGATACTGAATGTGGAAGTTGTGATTTGGCAACTTTAAGGAAGGGAACTGTTAGAACCATCCTTTTTGCGTCAACAAAAGTATAAGCATAGGGGTAAATTCCCTCTTTTTTCCCAAACTTAGTAAGAAGACGACTTTTTTCTTGACCCGAGCATCACATTAATCTTGCATTTGTTTCTGTGTATGTCTGTGTGCATAGGTGTGTTCAGCATGTCCTTCAGCCCCATTGTGTAGCTGTTAATTGTTCACCCAGTTTAATATATATATAAATATTATAAATATTGAATCCAATATCTGGGTTGTGGTGCAGTGATTAACTTAATATAGTAGTTCTATTCACGGAATGTGCTGTGGCAAAACACATCACATTAAGCAAAGAACTGTTGGCTTGTGCAACATGTTAAGGTAACGACTGACTTCCCACAACATAATAAATAGCAAACTACTGAACCACGTTTATTTTAGCATGTGGAACAAATACAGCCAGTGAGTGCATTTAACTTTCTTTTCATTTAATTTCACGTGGGTCATTTAATTAAGTTTATATTCTGTGCAACTTCCTATTCCTCAGTTGCATTAGACAGTTCCCAGAATTTCTTTTGCTGTACCACTTGGGATTTCTGGAGTTGTGCAATACATCAGGAGGGAGGCAGGTTTGAGAATAGGCCTGAGCTGCTGTCTCACAGACATTTCCCACAAGGTAGCTAAGTCATACAGGTGGTCCTCGATTTATGACCATAATTGAGCCCCGAATTATGGTTGTAGGTCATGCCAATTGTTAAACAGGTCATCACGTGATTATGCCTCATTTTACGTCCTTTTTTGACTTTGAATTTGTATGGTAAGTAGTCCTGGGGAAGTCTACTGTAAATTCAGTTGCTAAGGAATTGGTCATAAGTCAAGGACTATCTGTAGAAGATTAAAAATTTAACTCTCTTGGCTACATGGACAAAAATTAAGAAGCCCTTATGTCATGTCACTGAAAATTGCATTGTATGACACTGTCTTTCAACACCTCTCTCTCTCTCTCTCTCTCTGTTCTTTCAGGAAAGTATTTTGAGCAGTACCTGGAACTTACTGAATGACAACACCCGGATATCATTGGAAAACAAATTAGATTGCTGTGGATTATTCAACAAAACTGAATCTGCTGAGATATTTAAGAGAGATGTTGAAAATTGCAGTGCAGTAAGTGTACACTTTGGGATTCTTAGCCCTATGGAAGAGATATTTAACTTGTAAAATATATATGCTCTAATTAAAGAGGTTTAATATGCTGCAAATGATGAGTAAGGATTAAGGTGCATTTGCTGCTTTGGGTTGTTGGCTCATTTCCTAAAGCATCCATTGCTGATACAAATCAGCTATAGCACCCAAGATACTTTTAAAAATAAGATTCCTATGCACTGGAATTTGGCCGTATCTATTGCTTCAATACAGGGAATTTTAAAGAATAAACCATTCCCAGATAGCTATACCTTTAACTGAAAAATGCTATAGTAAAACTTTTCCTTTGAGAAAATGATACTTGGAAAACTAAAAAGATTTAGCATTAAATTAATCTAGATGTAAGATGCAAAATATGTGTAAGAAAAACAGTCCTAGTTTAGTGACTGCTCGAAGTTACAGTGGCACTGAAAAAAAAAGGTAACTTATGGCTGTTTTTCATACTTACAACCATTGCAGAATCCCCATAGTCACGTGGTCAAAATTCAGATGTTGGGCAACTGACTCATATTTATGATGGTTGCAGTGTCCCGGGGTCATGAGATCAGCAGCTGCAACCTTCTGCACAAGCAAAATCAATGGGGAAGCCGTGTTACTGACTTAGTGATTCACTTAACAACGCTGGCAAGAAAGGTCATAAAATGGGGCAAAACTCACTTAGCAGCTATTTTGCTTAGCCAGGGAACTTTGGGGCTCGGTTGTGGTTGTAAGTTGAGCACTACCTGTAATATGGGCTGTAACAACTGAAAACCCAACAGTTCTTCAGTATTTTTTTCCACCCTTCATGCTTTTACTCTTCCTAGTTTTCTCACCACCCTAAAGGTAAGGCTTTCCACCTGAAGTCCTTCCAGATTATTCCCATGCAATTCCCATCTGGCCCAACAAAGCCAGTCATACAAGTCATGCAGGGATTTATTTATTTTTGTTCTTTAGCTTGTGGCTCATTTCCTCCTCCTTTGGCGGTCTAGATTTAAAAACAGAAATCTAATTTCTGTTCTTAGGCTCCTTCACTTGAGGCAATTATCTAAATTACCATCTCCAGCTGTGTATCTCTGAATGTGATTAGGGGGGATCTTCAGCACTATCGCCTCATTTCACAAGGGTGAGGGACCCCGGGGGCTGCCATTTCAACAGGCCTGCTTGTTCCCCACAGTTGCTTCAAGCAGTAGTGACTAAGAACATCTTCCGGCTAAACGTTTTAGGAAATATTCACAAAGAACCAAGCAAACTGTGTTTTTAGGAAAGCTTGTCTGCCTTTTAGGTTTTCTTAGTAAGGGCTCCTCAGAACACAAATTGAAACATCCTGGATTAGAGCATCACTCATTCATTAAAAATTTGCTATATGTGACATTCTTGGAGCATTTGTCCCTATATATCGGTGGTGGCTAACCTTTTTGGATTCCTGTGCCAAAAATTGTGCGTGTGCTTGCACACTCGTGGTCGTGTGCCAGCACCCAGAAGGCAATGCACGCCCCCCATGCCCCTACGCATGCATACGCAATCCACCCTGCTATCCCCTTACCTGAACTGTGCCTTACAGCTGATTTTTGGCCGGTTTGAGGCCTTTTTCAGCCTCCCAGAGGCTTGAGGAAGGTTTCTGCAGGCTTTGCAGACTGAAAACTAGGCCCATTTTGTCACTTCTGGTATTTTCGGAAAAACAGGAAGTGATGAAATGGGCCTAGTTTTCGGCCTGCAGAAGCCTGCAGAAGCCTTCCTGAAGCCCCCGGGAGGCCGAAAAAGGCCTCAAACTGGCCCAAAATTAGCTGTGAAGCATGCACATGTGCAGTGAGGTAAGTTTGCCTGCGGCTCACGTGCTGGCACAAATGGCTCTGCGTGCCACAAGTTTGCCATCACGGCTATATATGTTATTGCTCTGGACAAAGTACCAGGCATAACATTAAATAATAATAGTCCTTTCCAGCAATTTTTCAGCAGGGGTGATTCTCCCGTATTCAATAGAAAGAAGGCTGGGCAATGTGTTTGGCAGCTAGTCCCAACATTGCTTACATACTTTGTGTTAACTAGAACTGATACACACTTTAAAGTATTTATTATTCACAATTGTATATTAAATTCACTCAGATTGCAAGGCTGTACCTGTTTTACACTAAGCAAGGTTTCTTTTAATCATGATTTGTGCATCACAATAATCTAAGGGTTGGAGAACATATTTTGAATTTTGAAAGCATGCATTGTATTCACTAATTTCTCCTAGTTCAAAGTATATAGTTATCAGAAAGGCCTTCCTATGGGCCCAAATCTATTGCTGCCCTAAAAGATGCAGCTGAAAGATGCTTCCTTCCTTTGCAATGTGCTATATCCTTCCTTTTTAAGGAGCTTTGTTTTAAAGTTAATTAAAAGCAGCTTGTTGTCCAAGACATTACCTTCTACTCCGTAAGAGATGGTTTTGGTTATTTAATTACTTCATTTGTATACTTTCTATTCCCAAAGGCTCTGGGTGGTTAACAATCTCATTATAAAAGAAAATGACATCCAGAAAGGGGGAAAAAATAACCAGTCCCAAATTATACATCAACAAAAATAACAAAATCAAAAATATAGAAAATCCCAGAAAATAAGTAATGCAATTGCAATCCACACCCTGTAGCATAACTTTCTTCAGAACAGACAGTAGTAGTTGTGCTCCCCCAATTCTAGTCTCTCCATGTCATTCACAAGTGCAACATCAACCAATGCAGTTTCCATGCTGCACCCTGGCCTATAACATGACTACCAAATGTCTAAACACCATTTTCTCTAGATTCTCTGGACTTGCAGAACAACCACTACTTTCTCTAGAATCTTTCCTAGATTATAGATTTAAATTATCCAAATCAAATCAAAGTTCTTTGAACAGAGGGCATAGGTCCTCACCTGGAGAAGGATTGATTACTCTTCAAATCAAACTTTCTGCCCCTTTATGGAGGGCCCTAACCAGCCCTGAGGGATAGGCATCCAACTAAGAAGTGGTGAAGCTGACATTCCAGATATTCCTCAAGATTCAAAATGTTCCCAGATCATAATCACAAGATATGACGTTCAGTCATCTCCATTTTCCTACTGAAATATAACTGCTCTGGAATCTGGTTGGCTATCTACAAAGTGCCACAAGAATTCTTCATAGCAGCCATTGAAAGGATTGTGGCTATCTTTCCCTAAAAGGATCAAGTCGTTTTAAAAAGGGCCACAGTATTAAAGATACAGATTTGTTTATTTCTATTTATCTCACACTCTTCAGCATCCGTTAGGCACTTGGGTTAATAGGCCTTTTTCCACTGAGGAGGTGGTTCCATCGTAGAAGTCCCCAGCAGTCATAAAGCAAATTCTCCACAACAGGCAAAGGTCATGGGTCAGATCATATTGAGACAAAGTACAAATCTAATGTACATTTTTTTTTCATATGCATTAGGCCCATAATTGTCATGGCAGCCATTTACTTCTGACTCATACCATGACCCTTGTAAAGGAAAGGCAGGTTGAATTTCTCTCAAAACTATCAGCTTGGGGTACCCCATCTCCACCCCACCAATCACATCTAGTAGTTCTGATATGAATGCTGCAATGTAAGAGAAGGAATGGTACAGGAGGGGTAAACTCATTTGGCACAAACAAGGATTGGCGCCTGGCTATCTGCAGTGAAATTCCCCTTGATGCAGAGAGAATCTACCCAGCTTCCTTCATCTCAGGACTCTCGCTGGTTGCAAACTCCAAATCCAAGATTGGCAGTCCAAGAGAAGAACATGACCTCCTCCTCCTCTTAGGTTTCAGTGATGCAAATGAGAAGTGTCAGGCATCCTTATTTATTTATTAAACTGATTAATCTGCCCAACTCTCATACATTGATTTTAATAGATATTAAATAATAATAGACAGACCAGTCAATAGCAGCAGCCGGAGTCTGGGTTCCAGCAATCTCGTTTTTAGAATGAGAGCTGGAAGCTGAAAAAGGGAGAGTGACGATTGAAGATATCAAGAATTTATTTCCTGTTATTCATCTTCGCCCTCCTGCCATACCTCCCATTGCCCGTCATAACTGTAATCTCATTCCTCCACCCATACACAACGAAAGTGATTAGGGGACCGGAGGCTGAAACATGATGATGAACAGTTGTGGAACCTGGATATGTCTAGCCTTAACGAAGAGAAGCAGTAGGAGTGACATAACAGCAGCCTTCCAATATTTAAGGGGCAGTCACAAAGAAGAGGGGTCAACCTCTTCTCCAAAGCACCTGAGGGCAGAACAAGAAGTAACAGACAGGACTGGGTTAACTACCGGTTTGGGATTTATGAGCTTCCCTGCACGCTGCAAGCTGTGTGCACGCCTGTAAATCGTCATCAGCACATTGCGTGCAGAGAAGCAGCCTTTGAAACAGCCCTCTTTTCCTGTTTTTTTTAACTGCAGCTGTGCCTCATTCGGGCAGCTGAAGTTGAAAAATCAGGAAATAAAGATCAGATAAGAGCCCGGGTGGGCAGGTGGGCAAAAACATCAGCATAGAACCGGTTCTATGTCTGCTGCTCTTCAGAGCTACTGGTTCTACAGAGGTGGACAGAACCGGTAGAAACCCACCCCTGGTAACAGAGGGAAGCTTATCAAGGAAGACTACAAACCTATAACTAAGGAGAAATTTCCTGACAGTGAGAACAATTGATTAGTGGAATGGCTTGCTTCCAGAAGTTGTGGATCATCACTGACGATTTTAAAGAAGAGATTGGACAGCCATTTGTCCAAAATGGTCTAAGGCAGTGGTGGCTAACCTTTTTGGGCTTCTCTGCACACACGCGCTTGCGTGCCAGCACCCAGAAGGCAATGCGTGTCCGCCCCCCCGCCATGCCCCCCCCCCCCACCCCTTTACCTGCACTGCACCTCACAGCTGACTTTTGGATGGTTTGAGGCCTTTTTCGGCCTCCCAGAGGCTTGAAAAAAGCCTCTGCAGGCTGAATAATAGGCCCGTTTCATCACTTCTGGTATTACAGGAAGGCTGAAAAAGGCCTCAAACCAGCTGAAAATCAGCTGTGAGGTGCACGCATGCGCAGTGAGGTAAGTTTGCCTGCAGTTCGCATGCTGGCACAAATGGCTCTGCGTGCCACCTGTGGCATGCGTGCCATAGGTTTGCCATCACGGATATAGGGCCGCCTGCTTGAGCAGGACATTGGATTAGAAGGCCTTCAAAATCCCTGTTATAATGTTACTGTTCACCCTGGCCTATATCCCCTGATCAAGACAAACAAAGAAACCCTCTGCCCTCCAGCACAGAACCACAATCAACCACAGTAACTGTGAGCTGATTCAACCCCCCCATTCATCTTCTGCCATGTCCATGTAGCACACCTGCATATCTAGCCGCCTCCCCCATCTGCTCACCCAACCTATTCTCACTAGAGGAAAGGAGCTACTCAAAAATTAGATGCCCTATTGACTAATATGAACCTCACTCAAATTCTAGACCCAATAATATCTCAACAGTTCCTGTGTGGGGAGCAGCCCTAAAGGAGGTTCATGTTGATGAAAACTGATTTCTAAATTGTTCCAAGACACATTCTTGTTCTAGTCTCTGTTAAAAAAGATCCAAACTCTTTTAGAAAGTCATTCTCTTCCAAACCAGCCACCAGAGCAATGGTAGAGGGAGTTCTCACAGCGAAGCCCAGCTTGCAACTCCCAATCACCACTATACCATTAGTTGCCAACCCACAGCATCTGCAGTTATTACACTACCTTCCTGTTGGCTTCTGCTATCATAAGTTCAGGCATACCAAAGATGAACAAGGAAACCCCAAATCTGAGACTCTTCAGGCTTCCAGTACTTGGAATTAATCAGCCCGAAAGAGGCCCTTGGTTCAGACTAGGTTCAGTGTTGCATTCCCTTTTGGATAATGTCAGCAGGTTCAAAAACATTAAGACAAAAGCAGCATTGCTATGTTATTTATGAATCCATATATTGTGCATTTTGTAGTTTTAAAAGTATTTTTCCAAACCAGCTCATCTTATTTAGAGCAGACTACCCAGGATTAAATTCAGAGCAGAATGCCTATGGTATATGAATTCCTGCAAGCATTTTTGATGCAACAAATGAGTGTGCCTGAAGTGTTCCGCTTCTTCTGTTGTGGTTCTGTTCAGGTGTGGTTCTACATCTTTCGAAAATGCTGCCAGTGGAGTTAACAGTTGAGAGTCAGTTTTGGCTGGTCTCTATCCCTTGTATTTTATTTTATAAGCATGAAACTTCCTTCTGCATAGAAATAACTGGGTAGGGTCACTTGATATTTCACCAGTGAACAGCTTCAGAGGAAGAGCAATCCAAATCCTAATTGAGTCCAATTTTTGATTGCTGCTAATGGTGTCTGCAAATAGGTAAACGTTTCTGGTTGTCTGTTACAAACGGGGAACACAGAGTTACACTGCGTTTTGTCACCTCATGCAGCCATGCACAAAAACAAAGATTGCATGCCTCAAATGTGGTGTTGTGCTGATGGAACATGCAGACGAGGCTTTGAAAATCCTTGGTGGAGTTGGACTCTTCTTCAGTTTCACAGAGGTAACTATGTCTATGAAACTAAACAAAAGTAGGGCTATTTAGCCTAGGTAAAACAGTCAATCATTTACGTCAGGCCTGTCAGACTGGTGTCCCATGGGCCGGATATGTCGCGTGCAGACCACGCCCACCCCGGCTCTGCAAAGGCAAAAGAACATTGCGACACGTCACGATATGGCCCGTGACGTGATGGAGTTTGACACCCATGATTTAAGTGTTTGAAATGTCCCCTGATCTCAGGGAGAGAATTTATGTATTTAGTTATTTGTATCCCGCCATTATTATTTTTTATTATTATTATTATTATTATTATTATTATTATTATTATTATTATTATTATTTATAAATAACTCAAGGTGGCAAATATATCCAACATATCTTCCTCCTCTTGTTTTCCCCACAACAACAGTTCCTGTGAGGTAGGTTGTGCTGAGAGAGTGTGACTGTCCCAAAGTCACCCAGCTGACTTTTTGTAACTAAGGCGGGACTTGAACTCACAGTCCCTGCTTGCTAGCCTGGTGCCATAACCCACTGCACCAGATTGGCTCTTGATACAACCAGTGGAGATAATTAAGTCATCGGAGTAACATTAAAACCTACCCCTTTGATAATTACACATCAAGGATAAGCTGTAGTTCCTACTTCTCTAAAGTTTGGGTGAATAGCTACTTTTTAATTTAGCACTGAAATGGAAACGATGTTTGAATTAATTTGGCAATTTAAAGGAGGGCATTCCAGGGCTGATCGACAAAACAGACTACTTTTAGAGCAATGGACCACAACTCCCAATTCTCAGCAAAGATCATGTTGCCACGGAAGTTCTATGAATTTAACTCTGAAAGCTGAAAAGGGTTCTTGCCATATATGTGAAAGAGACAGCTTTGATCATGGCAAATCATTTCCTAACCATTCATAAGATAAGCATGTTGGGATGAAGGAATGAAACCTTGTAATTGGATTTCTTTTTGCCTTTCAGATCCTCGGAGTATGGCTTGCGATGCGTTACCGAAACCAGAAGGATCCCAGAGCCAACCCCAGTGCCTTTTTATAGTTCTTTCTCCTACCACCTTCCAGGTTTCCTTTTTAGTTAGTCACTTCTTGCTTATTTAAGACCTCCTTTTTCCATCATTTGGTTGCCAACCACTCTCGCAGGCCCTATGAGGAGGAATTTTGCCTTTATGCCAAAACGCTGATAAGGATGAAATAGCAAGCGAAGGTCTCATCCATGACATGAAGCCTTTGGCATGGGGCAAAGGGATCCAGTACTGGAAGAAAAAGGCAGACATTAGTTGGTATCACGTAAGATAGTGAAAAAAAAAAATCATTTTGTTGACTCATGTAATTGCTCATAACTACAATCATTTTGGTGTTTTTAAAATATTTGCATTATCGTACCCGTGTTTTTAAAAAAAGATTTTCCTCAAAGCTGCTTTTTTCCCCCTCACAAATGTCTTCATCTTGACAAGGTAAAGCGCTTTGTCTTACCTTTTAAGCAGCAGAGGCAACAATTGTCCCATAAAATTACTTTCCACCAGGTTTGCCTGCTCTTCCCAAATTTGTGTTTCCTATGGTCAAACACAGTAAACACGAGTGCTAGATGAAGCAGCTCTGGGGAAAGATTTAGTATAAATAAGCATGATCTATGTCTTATTTTAGGATTTTGTTTTACAAGCCAAAATTGAAATTTATCTAAATTCAGAATTTACAATCATATACTTTATAGGCTGCCTCTTTTTAAAGAGGAAGGTCATAATCTGCCTAAAACTCACCGGAGAACTCACTTGCTCATAGTGTAATTACAATTACATCTTTAAAAATTCTTAAAACTGGCTTTTAAAGTGATTCCTCCTAAAGTGAAATCACAATTATACACCTTTGGAACAAAAGGAACTTGAGTGATACCAGCCTGAGTTTTGAATTCCAAGTTCCTTTGCAATATTCTTCCTGTGGTGGAGGATGAAGACTTGAAACTGTTGTATGCTGGTGTGTCCTAGATATGTCCTATTCTGTTCAGTTGTTTCCCCTGTATTTAATGGTTGTGAGTAAGGATGTATGTGAGGATCTTAGCTACACCCCCCCCCCATTGGGGATTCCGTTGTTTGAACGCTAGCCCGCCTGTGTAGAAGCCCCTCCCCCTGCTTCCGATTTCAGCCTGCTATCATTCTCATGTGCAATTTCTTTTGTTCTACTTTTTAACAAGGGAAGCTGCGGCTGAGCACAAGCATGTTACACATTTAACACTGGGCTTTGTATAGAATTAAGTGAGCTAGATGACAGCCTAGGAAAGATGGTTGCCAGGCTATCGGTCTCTTTGTCAAGAAAGGTCCTAGTGAAGCTCCTACGGAGGCGTCCGTTCAAAGCCAGATCTTTCAAGGACCGAGATTGGAAGGACCCATGCCTTCAAGACGAAAAGCAGAAGCACGTTCCCTTTTAACGGAGGGAAAGGAAACACGGACTGCTTTCTCTTTGATGAGTATGAATGTCTCCTCATGAAACCTTGAATGTTTCATAGGCTGCACCCTTATTACACACGCCGTACTGTTTATTTATAAATTAGGGAATGTCTCATAATCAGGGGCACCTTTTGCAAGCAAGTCCTTATATAAGGCAGGTGGAAATAGCTTGGCAGATTCTTCTCGACTCCTAAAGCTACAGCTGGCCTCTTTTGACGTTATCATCCTGGGCCGATAACGTAGCATTAAATGGTACAGATAAACCCCAAAACATTGTTCTGCCTTTTGAAAACAAGGGTGGATTGAGAAAGATTGATCTCTCTAGACTTTTTTTTTTTTTTTGAGCTAGGGCTACAACTCCAGTCGAAAGTTGAGATGGGAAAAAGCGGGAGAAGATCGTTGTAAACATTTGGTGTGTACTCTATCCTTTTGATGTGGACTCTATCCTTCTGAGGATTACAAAAGTTGGCTAATAACAGAGTGCACATGTGAATAGATGACGAATAACCGAAATCGTCTCTATAAAGCAAACACCTGGCGAGAGATGCATCTTAACAGATTTCCTAAATGCAAAAAAATAAATAAAAATAAAATAAAAATGGTGGCCATTTGCAGCTCCTGAAGGAGTGTTATCTGAGAGTGAGGCCCTCTCCCATACCCCAAAAATAAGAGTTGCACAAGGGAGACAACATGAAAAGAACCTGCCTTGGAGATCCCAACAACTATAAAAGTGTGAATCATGAGATAAATTCTAAGCCATTTAAAGATGTCAGGGTTAACATTAACACCTTCAATTATGCCTCAGGAAGCAACTGGCAAACCAGAGAACTTTTAGTACAGGCTTCACATGATCCTTGTACCTTGCACTAGTTAGGATCCTCGCGGCTGCTTTTTGGAGTAAGTGCAGTTTCTGTGCAGTCTTTAAAAAGAGTGTCTTCATGAAAAAGTTGCAGGAGTTCAGACATGAAGTAACAACACATTGATAACTTGTCATCAAACCTGATGTACCTGGGAAAGGTGCAATTACTTTAGATGTAACTACAAGGGTGCACTCACCTCACATGAGAATCCAGTGACATTTGAAGCTCAAGGAGTACTCCCAGCCTGGGAACCTGCTCTTTCAGAGAATCTTATCTAAATTAGGCTGATCTCTATCTTCAGTTTCCCACTTGAAAACTCGTTTGGATTTAATTTTGGATTGTTCCTGTTCATCGAGTTGCATTATTGACTTGACAGGAACTAGTTCCTTTCTTGGAACTGAATGATGAGCAAGAGTAGGTTAACATCAGCTGGGAATACCCTTCCAAACACACACACACACACACACAGTTTTATTCTGACAGTATAGAGAGCAAGATAGAAGCCTACCAGGCATCAAGAGGCAACCCCAATTAATACCTCAGCACCACCTTCTGGATGTGGAACGATTAGAACCATGATAAAATAAGATTCTGATCTTACTCTATAGTCCAGTAAGTCTATCCTATATAGTCCACTACATGCTATAGTGGTGATAGTAAAAATGACAATGGGTACAGAACTGGTAGGGCTATACTCCCATCAAAGTTCCTAAGACAAGTTGCCATGGTCAATCACCATGGAATAAGAGTTACACTAATATTGAAGAAATGGTGGAATAGAATCATTAAAGAACAAATGCAAAAGGAGGAACAAAATGAAATGCGAATGACAAAAAATTATTTCAGATAATTGAGTTGTCCCATGGCAAATTGGCCATGGTGCGTTGTCCCAGGCTGAGTTGGCCATGGTGAAGTGGCTGCAGTTGGCTGCAGCAAGTTGTCCCATTCTGTTGCAGAACAGGTGAGACAGCCAGGCAACCAAAGGTATTTTAATTCTATGATCTGGCTGAAAGTTTGATACTCATCCAGAAAAAAAAATCAATATTATTTAGCTGCACCTAGAGCTGCAGGGCCACTGCATTCTTCATCACTATATCATGAACTGGAATATTGAGACTGGCCTATAATTCTACACGTCTCCTGGGTCAAGAGGATGTTTCTGCTATAGAATATCGTATGAGTCTCCCATTAGGCAGGGGGAAATACTTTTATACACTGGGGAAGGGTGCTGGAGGTCTACTGAGCTACATTACTCACAGGAACTGATTGAAACAATTCAATGTGCACTTTATATAAGGTGGCAAGTGAAAACTGGACTGTAGCCATGGTTGACTTATCCCGTTTACCTTAGAAGAAGGGTTAGACAGATACCATGCATTAAATACATAAAATGGAGGGTATTTGCAGGCTATTTGTCTCGATCCACCTTTCTTTGCTAGGGACTATTTTGGCCCTGAGGTGGTGGTTGATAGAGAGGGTGACGGAAAGAACCTATCAGAAAATAGCAATCTGATGTATTCAGAGCTGCCTACGGCTTTAAGATCTACATACTTTTTCCATCATGTACACATGGAACTGCTCCTGTTGCAACAGGCAATTTAAATAAATTCATTTCTGTCCAATGCAGGTCTTGAGTGTTTTTCTTTAGTACTTGCTACTTTCCTACCTTGGGGAAGGAATGGCAGCAGTGTTAGAAAGGTTAGGTGGCGATACGTTCCGTAAAGGAAATTTTGCTCTAAGACATACTGTCCTCAATGCTGGTGGCTTACAAATAAAATTAAAACAAAATCAGCCTTCTCACAGCAGTCATCTTGCTCTGCTAAAAACCGAAACCTTTAATGTTAGAGCTTTTGAAGATTCAACCCTGCTTCATAGTTCCTCCCAGCAAGGTGTAGTAGCATTCCCCCTTTGATGTGAAGCTAGTCGAGGCTGATCAAGAATTAAGCCATAGCACCGAAGGACGGGTAGGTGGGCTTTTGTGTTCAATCTATCAGGAGCCAGTACATTGGCCTTATTAGTTCAAACCTTAGGATTCCTACAACCCAGCATTATTTCACCAGGCAATTGTGAGGGCCTCCAGGAACTTGGAACCCAAGTTAGGAAGACAATGGCTTTAAACTTATTTTTTAATCCTAATTATCAAACACTGGGATGTCTTATAAACATGATTGACCCTAAAAGGAGATTGTGGTTTCTAACCAGGGGAAAGGGGTGTGTTTTTAATTTACAGGTAGTCCTGGACTTACAACAGTTCATTTAGTGACTGTTCAAAGTTACAATGGCACTGAAAAAAGTGATTTATGACCATTTTTCACCTAATCTCGTTGTGGCATCCCCATGTCATGTGATCAAAATTCGGATGCTTGGCAACTGACTCATTTATGATGGTTGCAGTGTCCCGGAGTCATGTGATCAACTTTTGTGACCTTCTGACAAAGTCAATAAGGAAGGCAGATTCACTTAACAACCAAGTTATTAACTGAACCACTGCCGCGATTAACTTATTTGTGGCAATCAAGGTCGTGAAATCGGGCAAAACTTACCTAAAAGATTTCTCACTTAGCAATAGAAATTTTTGACTCGATTGTTGTCAGGGCTACCTATGCTTTTATTTATTATACATTGCCTATCTCACTCTGTAAGGGACTGAGTGGCTGACAAACCAAAAGGCCATTAAAATCCTTACAAAAATATCAAAATTAAAAGGACAGAGGGAGCATTCTCAAACACCACTGCCAGGAGGACTACATACCACTCCTGGATTCCCATGTTAGCAGTACCAGATTTTTAACACTCTTCCAGAAGGCCAGAAGAGGGAGCGGGGCCAACCTCACCTCCGGGAACAAGATATTCCATGGAGTGGAGCGGTGCAAAAAAGGCTTTCCCTGAATTCCACCAGTCGAAATTCTTTAGCTGACAGGGTCTGTGACTGGACTTCCTTCTAAACTAGTTGGGGTGGGTCAGTTGCAATTGGGACAAGACGATTCCTCGGATAACCTGAGCCCATGCCATGATGGGCTTTAGCAGTTATATCCAACACTCTGAACTGGACCCCAGCATCCAATGCAGCTCACACAGATGCGTTACACACACACAGCCGTAGAATAGAATTCCCCAACCTTTCTGACTTCACAGATTTAGGGCGGGGGGGAGAGGATTGTGTGTGTGTGGTGGGCACATGCATGCTCGCCCGCTAGTTGTGCACTTGCCCGCTGTTTGTTCAAGTGGCAATGTGAGCGCTCATATCCCCCGCTTCTGCAGCTTGGTTCCAAAAGGCTCAAGGCCCAGTAGAGAACTTGCGGCCCTGGGGGTTGGGGACCCCTGCCTTAAGAGGCATCCATAATGCCTGCACTGCTGCATTCTGCAAGAGCTGCATCTTCCAGGTATTTTACAACGGTAGTAGTGTGAAGAGTATTGGCAGTAGTTTGTATGGGGGATGACCAGAGAATGAATGAGAGAGAAGGGCTTCCCAATCCAAGAGAAGGGACAACTGGTGTACAACAAACCACAATAAAGGCCTTCCTAGCCGTTTTCTGCTACCGGCTCCTTGAAATAGGAGTTATGAATCTTGGTGGATCCCTGCATTATGCACTGGGTCCAGCTAAGACACTTCAATCCCATCCAGGATCAATGATGATAAACCCCCAGATACAGAACAGCCCTACAGCCACTCTGTCTTCCCAAGGTTCAGTTGAAGCCCGTTGTTCTTCATTCAGATGCCCACGGCTTCCAAGCCCTGCAGAACATCATCCATGGCATCACTCGGTTCACCCCAGACAGAGATGTACAACTGGGTATCATTCACATGCTTATGATACTCATCCTGTAGTGATGGGTAATCTCACTCGGTGGGTTTCATGTAGGTCAGGAGTGTCAAACTCAAGGACCACAGGCCAGATCCAGCCTGCAAGCTGCTTAGATCTGATCTGCAAGGACTGGCCCGCAGTGCCTCTACCAGCAAAAATGGAGCTCAGGTGCACCACACACAGCCCTCCCAAGCTGTCGCAGCTGAAAATGGAGCCACCACAGGTGCCCCCGACACAAGTGACATCAAGCCGGCCACACCTACCCTGGACCTCCCGAGGTCAAACACAACCCTGATGTGGCCCTCAATAAAATCGAGTTTGACACCCCTGATGTAGATGTTAAAAGGGAACAGAGGGAGCACAGAACTCTGTTGTACCTCATAGTTGAAAGGAGATCACTTCTTAGCAAAGCAAAGTAAGATTAGCAACAAAAAAACGAGAGAGCAGGTTGCACGTGGGGTGCCCAAAATACACTTCAGCTTCAATTCTATGTTTCTTTACTAAAGAAAAGCTATCAATTGTATATTTCTTTTTATCAAAATAGCAACGTGTGGATGGTGTCTTGAGCTACATAAATGGAAATAAACTTCAATATAAGGCACATACAATAGCTGCCCCTGAGCATACATATGTACCAGAGTCATATATGTTTCAAAGAATACATACGATGTACTGTCATTTCTGTATACAGCAAAATCAATTACGAAGTTCAGATCTTTGATCATCAACAGAAGAATACATAATAACATACACCACTGGATGTATTACAATGCAGTTACCAGGCAGTTTGTTATCCAGAGATTTGGATACATCACAAGTACAGTTTGATTAGCTGGATCAAAATCAATAGCTTTGATTTGTAAAAGGGAAAAAAAAAAGCAGCCAAATTACCCCCGTTTGTCTCTTCAGTTTTGAGTACAAATCAGATGCATACAAAAATATGTTTTTATAAGGAACCTCTTTAAAAAAGTATTTCAGGTTAGAAAAATGGTTGATTAATATATCGGAGGGGAAGAGACAGAGTCCTATTCAAATAGAGCATTGTAACAGTTTAACAGCTAAAATAAGAAAAATAGGAGGAACGTATTAGCAAAAAAGAAACAAATGGTTGCTACTTGTAGTAAATGCTGAGCATGATGATATTCTCACAATATGGTGAAGATAAACCAAATTCCCAGTTGAGTTTTGGCTTAGATTCCAGGTTGTCATATGGCACTTCTGTCAAGGGTTTTTTCTTCTTCTTAAAACAGTCACTCCCTTCTCCCCATAACAAAACACACCAAACATTGTTTAAATTGGCTATCCATGCCACACAGCCAGACTTCAGCTTATTTTGGCAAAACCAGAACACACAAAAAAACAGTTTGTTGAAGTTACCTGGATATTGACTTATGAGCTCCCATATAAACAATTTCCTTCAACTACCCACTCCCATCAGCAAAAAACAAAAACAAATTGTTTAGAACAAAGGCATGTTTTTGCAAGTAAAAAATGTAAACAAAGTGTCTTTTACTTGGCTAAATCCCACATTCATAAAAGCATTGGCAACAGTTCTTTGGGCTTTCACTTCAAAATTCCTCAGGCCCTTTCCTAGAAGTTCATTAAAAGCTGTAAGAGTTGAATCAGGATGGATGGATGGAAGGAAGGAAGGAAGAAAAAGAAAGGAAAAGAAAGGAAAGGAAAGGAAAGGAAAGGAAAGGAAAGGAAAGGAAAGGAAGGAAGGAAGGAAGGAAGGAAGGAAGGAAGGAAGGAAGGAAGGAAGGAAGGAAGGAAG